CACTGTTTCCTGCAGTCAGCACAGCGTCTCAACACAATAACGGCCTTCAGCTGAGCCACTGACCAAACACTTAATGCTACATGACAAAATATTTGCTTTAAAATCCAATGATCACATTTCAAGCAAGGAAATTGAATCAAGCTCCAAAGTTATACTTTAATAAAAAGCAGAAAGTAAAATAAAACATGTTCATTCAGGAGAAAACCTAATATGATGAAATAAAAACAAGCAGAAAAATGTCTGACTTTCAGCAGAAGGTTTAGTTTTTTAGTCTCCTTCACGCTGGATGAGGAGCCACACACTCATCAGAAGCTGAAGCATCATCCCTTCAGCTGCTCTCCTGCATCTTCAGGCTCTGAACAGCAGCAGAAAACAATATTTTCACACCGTCAGGCAGCCCACCACAGCCAGCACCACTCACCTCAGCTCGTAGTGGAAAATATGAAGCGTGTGAATAATCTGAATATTCACTCATCATACCGTGTCACTGGTGTGCACGCTTCATATTTTCCACAGCTGAAGCTGAATGTTAAAGCTCACATGCAGAGAGCTGATTTACAGGTGCTGCTGCTGCTGAGGCTGACTAATGCCGTCGTCTGTTATTTCCCCACAGAGCCGTGGAAACACCGACGACGTCACCTATTAGAGCTGATAATGACTTCATGGTGAGACGAGCGCCGCTCGTTTGTGTGAAAGAAAAGAGTCAGGACACTGAAAGTTTAATAATTTATTTATGATGGAAGATAATGGTGAGTCTGTGCTGAAGAGCAGGAGAACTGAATATTCAGATGTAATGTTTCCTGTTTTAAACCGTTTTAAACTGTTTTAAACTGTGGCCTATCCACTATAAAACAGGAGCTGATTCAGTTTTGTTCCTTTTTCAACAAACAGAAAGTTCACGCAGAAATCAGTCAGATTTATTCATTTCTGAAAACATTCTTGTAAACAGCACCGTTTCTAGAAATGCTTCCATCCACACAGAAATACAGAAAACGCTGCAGTAACTCCTCCATGCCTGTAGGTGGCGCTGTGACAAAACACAGCAGAAAACAGGAAACAAGGAGAAAACATTTTCCACGTTTTTTATAATCTCTACAACCTTTGTTTTACAGATAAAACATATTAGATCATTTGGTATGAATGGTATTTCTGTGGTTATTGATCACCAGTCTGTCTGCTGACTGAAATAATTCAGGGAGTGAAGGTTTCACTGCAGGACAAAACAAACACAAGCAGCTGATCTGACATTCTGTGGTCATTAATTAAAGAAATGGAGACATGTTTGTGTTTGTCCACATGAAAACAGTTTAGTGTTTCCTAAACTGTCCTTTTTGCACAAACCTTAAAACAAACCTTTGTGTAGCAGCCACATATACTGAGGTATTAAGTGTGGGGTAATGCCTGTAAAACATATATAAACTCAGTCTTTCTTTTACAGAAAATAGTTATTAAAGTTATTATTGAAGCTAAATACAGAGATCATACAAACCCAATATCTGTACAGTTGAATATACTAAAACTTCATGATTTTGAGTACAATATTTTAAAATTTATGTATAAAGCACATAAAATTATGGTACCAAACAATATTCAACTTAGATTTATTAAAAGGGAAAGTAAGTATAATTTAAAAGTTATTGAGATGTTTAAAGAAATAACTTCAGAACTGTGCTGATGGAAAGATGTATTTCAGTTTAGGCTGTTAGACTGTGGAATGGTCTGATAGTGAGATGAAACAGTCTAAATCTTTATTTGTGTTTAAAAACAACTTGAAAATTATAATGTTGAAGTGTTTTATTACTGATTGAGGTGATGTTCTGTTTGTATTTTTGTGTTCAGGGGTTCTTTTGTTTTTCTTTTGTAGAAATGTGGAACACTTTTAAACTTTATTTTATGTTCTGTTAATAATCAGTTCATCTTGTATCCAAGGGGTTCAAAATCAGTAACTTGTCACTGTTTAAATTTCACTGTGTGTGTGCGTCACTCTGGTCAAAAACATGTTTGAGGAACAGGGTCAAACTCTGGGTTCCTTATCGTTTCAAGMCTGTGCAGATAAATGGAACAATGGCGAGCAGGAGGCCGGCGTGACCACCTGCAGCTGTCTGATAATGTATTATTCTCTCATAAGTTACGTAYGGAATGGACTTGATTATAAAAGCTTAGAATTACAGAAGTTAGATGAGATGCTGCTTTGACTATCACAAGGGAAGTATCGGTCCAGCACTCTCCCAGATTTGCAAATCTGTTCGGTGGGTTTTTACATGTAATCTTTAATAAATTCTGTTAAAACTTTAAAGGTGTCTCCGACTAAATCCCTCCAAAATCCCAACGGACCTGGGTAAGAGCACTGGCTCTTAACACTTTTTTCTGTACGCTGACAGTGGACTGGTTTGGAAATGGTTTTATTTTTTAGTGAATGGGGCAGATATTATAAGTTTATATTCTTTCTGCTCCTTTTCATTCATGATTTTATTGTCGTTTTGTTTGTTTTGTTTATTTTATATTTTGTATGACTTGTTTTTATAGATTATTACCTCCGCCAAGGAGGTAATGTTTTCAGTCGTGTCTGTCTGTCTGTCTGTCTGTCTGTCTGTGGACAACATTACTCAAAAACCTGTGGACAGATTGTCATGACATTTTTACCACATGTGTGTACTGGGCCAAGGAACACACCGTTGGGTTTTGGTGATGTTCTGGATCACGATGCGGATACAGGAATTTTTTTCTTTTAACACTCTGACATCAGCAAATCTGTGATGCTTTCATGAGGTGTGGGTTTCAACGTGTCCAGCAGGTGGCACTGTAGTATTGGTGTGCCCCTTTGCAACTCTATTACAGGATGGGGAAATTGGTCTTGGCGGAGGTTTGCACTCTCCGAGTGCTTCTAGTTTTTATTGTTTTATGAATGAATGAAATAAACACAATTATTGAATTGAAAACAATAATCATCAATTTTACACAAAAAAGTCTTAGATTTTATTTATTATACAATAAATATATTCTAACAAGCCTAAATATGAAATAGTTTTGACATTTCTGCCCATATATCATCAGAGAATGTGAGCTCAAACCCTCCCCACCTGTGTTAAGATGAGGTGTGTGTTCAACAACAACAACACACCTCATCTCATCCTGACCCTGCTGGACTCTGTCAGTCTGAGGATGTTAGGGTTTCAGGTCCTGAGGAGCTGAGCAGCAGGGTGTTTCCTCTCTCTGGGTGTTTTACTGTTTGTTCAGCAGAAACTCAACCAATCATGACATGATGAGTCAGCATGATTTCATCTAAAACACAATTACTACCCGAACTAACCAAGCACACTTAACACATCAAATAAACTTGTTGGGATCTGTTTTTGTTCACTGCAGGTTAGATAAGATTTTTTTTAAACCTGCTACCAGATCAGGTCTATTATCAGCCCTGAAACTGAAAGAGGCTGAACTTTCAGGGTTTACAGGAACTCTGGCTCACTCTCATAAAAAGAAACACAGCTTTGCTGAGCTCTAACAGGTTTTGGTGGTTTGTAAGGAGCTGTGTGAGCCTCTCAAACTGTCAACACTCTGCTTCTTACCTGAACTCAGAGCTGCTGCTGGACTTCAGCTGAGCAGAGCCCAAACACAGAGACATGTGAGGATCTGTGCCGTCTGTCAGAGAGAAGATGAAGACTGGACTCTGACTAAAGGTTTCAGTCTTCTCTTTGGGTTTCAATGAACTGCAGCTTGATTGAACCAAACTGAAACCAAGATCCAGACGTTTCTGTTGGATGATAAGTGATTTGAAGCAGCTTTAAATATCAGACTGATGATCAGGTGTAATGGTCGTGGATTGTGCTGCAGAACCAGACAGATGTTTACCCATAATGCACAGCAGCTGCCAGTCACTGAGTCGACCCATGAGCTCCTCTGTAGACTGAAGGACTCCTGTTGTCTTTTTGTTCTTCAGAGTTTCTGTTTCCTCACTGACACCTTCATCTGTGAGCTCTTCACTTAGAAGTGCTTAATTAGTAGTCTTCCTCAGTATCAAGTATCAAGGACCGCAGAGGCCTATGAATTAAGCCCTCCTTAGGTTCAGCTGTGTTGAACCAGGGCAGCTCCTAAAACATGCAGGACACTGGCCCTTGAGGACCGACTTTGGACACCGCTGCTCTGTAGACACATCTTACCAAACACTTGATGTCCTGGATCCTTTGTAGACCCATCCTAATAAACACGTGATGTCTAGGATTCTCTAATAACTCATTCTACCAATCACTTGATGTCCAAGATCTTCTGTAGACATATCCTACAAAACACCTCATGTCCTGAATCCTCCAAACCTATCCTACCAAATGCTTGATGTCCAGGATCCTCTACAGATCCATACTACCAACCACTTGATGTTCAGAATCATCTAAAGACCCATTCTACCAAACATTTGAAGTCCAGGATTCTCTATAGACCCATACAACCAAACACAAAGTCAGGGATCCTTTGTAGACACATACTACCAAACATGTCTTGTCTAAGATCCTCTATAGACCCATCACAATAAACACTTTATGTTTAGGATACTCTAATGACCCATCACCTGATGTATAAGATCCTTCAGACCCATCAGTTAATTTAGTTACTATATCACATTTTATTAAATGTAGTGTTTTAAAAATATCTATTAGTTACAGTTTGATCATTCTATCATTTTTTACTTTTGAAGGTCTGTGGTAGTAAATAAAATCTGCTGGTCATGAGGACAATAGTTCTTTTTAGTGAAAACTTGTTGAAGGATCTCTAGTTGTCATCTAAAGAGAGAAAGGATTCAATGGTTCCACTGAAACGTCAATCAAAATCAGTTTTATTTATACAAAAACATCTCATAACTTGGACAAAAACTAAAAACAAAACAAAACAAAACAAAAAGCTAATTTATTAACATATTTATTAACACATTTTATCCATCATCAGTTTCCTGTTTCACATCAATGAGTTTCAGACTGATCAGTATTTGGTTTTCAGCAGGAAGAACATCAGAACTGAACTTTGATTGCAGAGACCTTCATCTGTGAGATCTCGACTTTATCTGCAGTGTAGATGTATGGAAACATCTTCTCAGTGAAAGTGTGTGTGAAGGTGTGTATGTGTGTGTTTGTGTCAGGATCAGAGAAGGACAGAGTCCCTCCGTCCCAGTCCAGACTCACTCTGATCCTCTGGAGCTTCTGCTGAAATGATGGATCAGAGGGACGAGCTCCTGGAGACAACACGGAGTATTTACCTTCAAAAAACTCTATTTCCCATAATCCAGACTCGATGTAGCCCCTCCTCTGGACTGACTCTGCTAACACACCGAGGATCCAGCCTTTACTGTCTCCAACCTCCACGATCCATCTGTGAACCCCAGACTCCAAACCTTCAGAACCCAGAACAGAACAGGTACCAAACCTCTCAGGGTTAAAAGGAAGCTGCTGATCTCCTCGGTCTATGATGCACAGATCTTCAGACAGGACCAGACCTGGACCAGCAGTGTTTGGGTCCAGGATGATGGGGCTGTAGGAGACCAGGTCCTTCATGTTGGTCCAGATGTTGAAGGCCAGGTTGCCCAGGTGTTTGGCCTGGTCTATCAGAGCTCCTGAGGGCAGCTGTGGATCATCCAGCAGGGGGCAGCGCTGGAC